GTGAATGTGTCGTGTCCAGGTTCAGTGTGGGAGCTGTGAATGTGTCGTGTCCAAGTTCAGTGTGGGAGCTGTGAATGTGTCTGTCCAGGTCAGTGTGGGGAGCCTGTGAATGTGTCGTGTCCAGTTCAGTGTGGGAGCTGTGAATGTGTCGTGTCCAGGTTCAGTGTGAGGGCTGTGAATGTGTCGTGTCCAGGTTCAGTGTGGGGGCTGTGAATGTGTCGTGTCCAGGTTCAGTGTGGGGCTGTGAATGTGTCGTGTCCAGGTTCAGTGGGGGGGCTGTGAATGTTCGTGTCCAGGTTCAGTGTGGGGGCTGTGAATGTGTCGTGTCCAGGTTCAGTGTGAGGCTGTGAATGTGTCGTGTCCAGGTTCAGTGTGGGGGCTGTGAATGTGTCGTGTCCAGGTTCAGTGTGAGGGCTGTGAATGTGTCGTGTCCAGGTTCAGTGTGAGGGCTGTGAATGTGTCGTGTCCAGGTTCAGTGTGGGAGCTGTGAATGTGTCGTGTCCAGGTTCAGTGTGAGGGCTGTGAATGTGTCGTGTCCAGGTTCAGTGTGGGGGCTGTGAATGTGTCGTGTCCAGGTTCAGTGTGGGGGCTGTGAATGTGTCGTGTCCAGGTTCAGTGTGGGGGCTGTGAATGTGTCGTGTCCAGGTTCAGTGTGGGGGCTGTGAATGTGTCGTGTCCAGGTTCAGTGTGGGGGGCTGTGAATGTGTCGTGTCCAGGTTCAGTGTGGGGGCTGTGAATGTGTCGTGTCCGGGTTCAGTGGGGGGGCTGTGAATGTGTCGTGTCCAGGTTCATGTGGGGGCTGTGAATGTGTCGGGGTCCAGGTTCAGTGTGGGGGCTGTGAATGTGTCGTGTCCGGTTCAGTGTGGGGCTGTGAATGTGTCGTGTCCAGGTTCAGTGTGGGGCTGTGAATGTGTCGTGTCCAGGTTCAGTGTGGGGGGCTGTGAATGTGTCGTGTCCAGGTTCAGTGTGGGGGGCTGTGAATGTGTCGTGTCCAGGTTCAGTGTGGGGGCTGTGAATGTGTCGTGTCCAGGTTCAGTGTGGGGGCTGGGTGAATGGTCGTGTCCAGGTTCAGTGTGGGGGCTGTGAATGTGTCGTGTCCAGGTTCAGTGTGGGGGCTGTGAATGTGTCGTGTCCAGGTTCAGTGTGGGGGCTGTGAATGTCATACAGGAAACTGAGAATGAAGACTAGAAATTTCAGAACTCCTTGAGAACTGTCCATGACGTAGATACTTATTAGTTATTAGTTTTAGTGGTCATTATCCAGCAAATTTGTCGTTGGCTTCTGCCTACAAATGAATCGTATTTTAAAATTTAATAACGTGAGTAGGGGAGGAGGAGTTACCGGTAATTATATTTTACAGAGAATGAATCAACACTTATTTTTACCTTTGACAGAAATATCCAACAAGTTGTAAACTTTTTTAATATATTTTTTTTCTTTGCGTATTGTAAAAGGACTCAATAGTTTGGTTTCAACACACGCGGATTTAAAAATTATTCAAAGCTAATATTACTGGTCCGTATTAAAGCCTAAATAAAATCACTGAAAAAGAGTATGTTATTTTACCATTGATCTTGTTATAAAATTATTTGCATCACTTTATATATGAAAAAAGGAGAGAGGGAGAGAGAGAGAGAGAGAGAGAGAGAGAGAGAGAGAGAGAGAGAGAGAGAGAGAGAGAGAGAGAGAGAGAGAGAGAGAGAGAGAGAGAGAGAGAGAGAGAGAGATTAAAGTACTGTGTATATACCTGAGTTGCTCTAGACTCTTCAACTTTCTGTCAGCAGATATAATGAATAATGCTTGAGGAACTATATTACTATTATAATCAAAAAGAAGCGCTAAGCCACAAGGGCTATACAGCAACAGCTTGGTTGATCAGATCTATCAATAAACAAGGCTTAGTATTAAGTTAGTTGGCTGGTTGGTTTATTAGGTTTAAATTATTTTGACTACGCGAGTGTCAATAAGGTTGCACAACCCAGTTTAAAACACTTTAATATCTAGAACTTTAATAAAAGTATCCTCTCATCATATATATACCGAGAGGTATACAACTCTCGGCGTATATACACTGAATATACACACTTTTCAGTATGAGGATACGACAAGATGTGAAAAAACACTTATGTACAGTTAAGGACATTTATAAATGTCCTGAACTAAACGAAAACTTTTTCTTTTTATATTTTGTAATTTATACAGAACGTGAGGTTACTAGCCCCTTGATGCCGGCGTTATAGTCGCCTCTTGCCACATGTGTGGCTTACGGAGGAAGAATTCTGTTCCACTTTCCCAGAGAGAATATATATATATATATATATATAAAAAAAATATATATATATATATATATATATATATATATATAAAATATAAACATGATCTCTGGCTGAAGGGGACTCGAACCTACGAACCTTAGGACAAGGTACGCAGTGCTTTACCAATCTACCCACACTGGGCAATACCTTGGCGTGTAGCTTGCTACACGTTTGAAACCAAGGCAGCCAATTTCAGGAGAAGGGCCCCTTTAGCCAGAGATCAGTGTTTGTGTATATTTCGCCTGCTCTCGCGAATTCCTTGCATGTTTAAAATCTCTAGTAAGTCTATGCATGCAGGGATGAGATGAGAAGCTGTAAACCTTCTCCCTGAAAGCTGGCTGCCTTGGATCAAACGTGTAGCGCAAGCTACACGCCAAGGCAAATTTTCCATTTTTGGGGAGATTGGTAAAGCACTGTGTACCTTGTTCCAAGGTTCGTAGGTTCGAGTCCCTTCAGCCAGAGATCAGTGTTTTTGTATATTTCGCCTGCTCTCGCGAATTCCCTTTCATTGTTAAAATCTCTAGTAAGTTGATGCATGCAGGGATGAGATGAGAAGCTGTAAGCCTTCTCCCTGAAAGCTGGCTGCCTTGGATCAAACGTGTAGCGCAAGCTACACGCCAAGGCATTGTCCAGTTTGGGTAGATTGGTAAAGCACTGTGTACCTTGTTCCAATTTCGAGGTTCGAGTCTCCTTCAGCAAGATCAGTGTTTGTGTATATTTCGCCTGCTCTCGCGAATTCCTTGCATGTTAAAAACTCTAGTAAGGCTGGGTGCATGCAGGGGATGAATGAAAAGTTGTAAGCATATATAAATAAATATATATATATATAATAATATATATATATATATATATATATATATATATATATATATAGTGAGAGCTCCTCATGCAGGGGACTTTCTGTTGGTTGTTCCCAACTCCAGTTTGGCACACGGCTCGACCCACAGACCATCCGCATTGGTGTTGCCCTTCGACTTGCCGCCCCTATTCTCGCCGAACACAGGTGTATTTGGGCAGTGAAGCAGCAGACTGATTCGGGTACCATGGTCTTGTGTGTCGTAAATCCAAGGGAAAGATTCCAAGACTTGACGAGGTTAATAACATTATCAAGAGGAGCCTCACAACAGCCGGATGCCCAGCAGTAAGGGAGCCACCACAACTATGCAGATCTGATGGCAGCCAGAAGCGTCCAGATGGTATCGCACTTCAAGCCTGGACAGACGGTAAGCAGGTGGTGTGGGACTACACATGTGCATCTACCTTGGCTGATACCTATCTCCAATACACCAGGGAAGAAGGAGGGGCAGCTGCCAGCTTCAGGGAGCCCCAAAAGTCTAGAAAATATGGAGAACTTGCCCATCATTATATGTATGTTCCCATAGGCTCAGAGACCCTTGGCTCGTGTGGAAAGAGTGCATCTAAGTTCCTTAAGGAGCTAGGCAAAAGACTCATCAGGGTAACTAGGGATCCCAGGGCAGCTAGTTTTCTGTTCCAGCGACTCAGCGCTGCTGTTCAGAGGGGAAATGCCTGCTGTATTTTGGGCACGCGCCCCAGTTCTGAAGAGCTGGATGAGATTTTTGCATTATAATCAGTGACAAACTTGTAGCAATATCTACTAGACATTTATCTCTCACATCTCATGTACTGTATATGCCATCTGCATATCAACAATGTATCTCTTAAAACTTTTTGTGCCATATTATGTAATAATAATATATATATTATATAAAATTATATATATAATATATATATATACAAGGAATTCGCGAGAGCATGCGAAATATACACAAACACTGATCTCTGGCTGAAGGAGACTCGAACCTACGAACCTTAGGACAAGGTACGCAGTGCTTTACCAATCTACCCACACTGGACAATACCTTGGCGTGTAGCATGCGCTACACGTTTGATCCAAGGCAGCCAGCTTTCAGGGAGAAGGCTTACAGCTTTTCATCTCATCCCCTGCATGCATCAGCCTTACTAGAGATTTGAACATATATATATATATATATATATATATATATATATATATATATATATATATATATATATATATATATATATATATATATATATATATATATGTCGTGCCGAATAGGCAGAACTTGCGATCTTGGCTTAAATAGCAACGCTCATCTTGCCATATAGGACAAGTGAAAATTTGTGTATGCAATAATTTCGCCAAAATCATTCTGAACCTAACAAAAAAAATATGTTTCGCTGTGTTTGTTTAGTATTAAATTATTGTAAACAAATCTAAAATATATTTAGTTGGGTTAGGCTGAAATAAATTGTTCTTGTTATAATAAGGTTAGGTAAGTTTTCTAAGATTCTTTTGGAGCAAAATTAAAGTTTTTTACATTAACATTAATGAAAAAAATATATCTTTAAACGTATAAGAGAAATTTTTAGAAAGGACTTAGTTTTAAATGAGTTCTTGCTAATTGACCAGTTTTACATATTCGCACGACATATATATATATATATATATATATATATATATATATTATATATATATATATATATATATATATATATATATATATATATATATATATATATATATATATATATATATATATATATATATATATATATATATATATTATATATACACGAATTTACAGTCCTTAACTTAAAAAATAATTACGTTTCACTTCAAATAAAATAAAGCACATGACTTACCTTACCGTAGCAGAAATTAGAAGACTGGCGTCAGCACCAGTGACCAACTACTTCACACGCTGCCAACTAACCCACACAGATTAGAATGGAGGTTAATATCCGAGCTGCGCATTTTTATCGGTATTTGACTGAGGTACCAAAACACATTCCTAAATTCAGCATTAAGTATATTTCTATATTTACATAAGCAAAGAGAAACAAATACGTGAAGAAAAAAATATGCAATGTAATTAACATATACAGGAATTTGTAAAATATCTGTATTTTAGCACATTATAAAAAAAAGACTTCATAAGTGATGTGTAGTATATATGTGAGAAACACCTGGAAGCCATATATGGTTGTAACTGATCTCCGGATGTGGGTCCTTCATACTGCGATAATCAGCTGTTACTGTGAATCAGTCACTCACACATTATTGCTGCCAGAGAAAATTTGACGTGTTGAAGCAAAAATAAATAATTTATAAAATAATAATAATAATATAATAATAATAATAATAAAATAAAAAAAAAAAAAATAAAAGAAGAAGAAGAAAGAAGAAGAAAGAAAAGAAGAAGAAGAAGAAGAAGAAGAAGAAGAAGAAGAAGAAGAAGAAGAAGAAGAAGAAGAAGAAGAAGAAGAAGAAGAAGAAGAAGAAAAAGAAGAAGAAGAAGAAGAAGAAGAAGAAGAAGAAGAAGAAGAAGAAGAAGAAAGAAGAAGAAGAAGAAGAAGAGAAGAAAGATGAGTATGAAGGTGAATACATTTAGATACGCTCAGTAATAATCCACATGGAGATAGAAACTCAGATTAATTGATTCTGACCCCCTTCTGGGATCCTCTTCAGCAGATGAAGGGGGTTGATATATACAGATCAACCAGTCTTCTGAGTTTGTCTCCATGTGGTTATTATTGAGCATTGACAAGTGTTCATTAAACTATTTATTCACTTTTAGATATTCGGAATTGACCATGTCTGCTGGAGGGTCTTTGAAAGAAGAGGTGAGCCATAGTATAGGGGAAGAGGGGGGAAGGTGGGTGGTGTGTTGAGGGGTCTGTGGCAAGAGTGAAGTTACCCAGGGAGGGAGACGAGAATGTATAAGAATAAAGTAATAAGAACATTTTCATTTAAGAGACATGGCTTTAAATGATGCAGCGAGGAGGAGGCTGGAAGCCGTAGAGATGACAAGTTTGAGAGCAATGCGTGATGTCAATATTACATTGAGAATTTGAAGAGTAGAAATTGGAAAACGATTTGGGGTGACGAAAGGTATAACTCAGACGCTTGTGTGAGTGTCTTAGAACTGGTGAGTGAGTGGAGACTTAAGTAAGTTTTGTGATCGACGTGTTGTTGGAGTGTGATCAAGTCCCGGAGACGAGGGTTGAAAAATATTGCAATTCGGAGGATCATTCGTATGGTAATAGTCTGCATACTTCTGGCCAGACAGTCGTCGAGTGAATGATGCAAGTCTTAAAAAATTATTTCTATTATGATTTATTATCATTTATTATTATTATTATTATTATTATTATTATTATTATTATTATTTATTATTATTATTGATGATGTTGACGACAATAAAAGCTGAACACATTGATTAGTTAGGTTTAAAGCCTATCGGCTGCACGAGGAGAACTGAGTCAGCAATTTACCTGTGCACTAACAATTAGGAAAACTTTTATCCTCAAAATATGGATTAAAATATATTCTGGATGTATATATGCAGATATATACACCTCTCGCAGTACTGAAAGAATTGGTTACGTTTGTATGCGGGGTACGAGTATTGGATCCAAATTCACTAGTAGTATGAGCTTAGAAAGTTAATTTTGACTGTCTTCTTCAGTAAAATGTCTCGAATTTGTTTTCAATAAGCCTATGTTGCGTTTTTTTTTTTATGTAAGGGATGCCATTATTATCATAGACATGAGAAAACGGTAACCCTGTAGGGGTGGTGCAGTGCCTGGCGAATGAGAGACAATCAGTTTTGATCCGAATTAATTGGATCAAATATCTCTTCATCAACAAAGTTCGTAAATTGTTGTCATTAAATTGATGATTTTTTCTTTCATTATTGTGTTGTTGAAGGCAGTGGGAGAGGAAGTATTATTTTTATTAGTTTTTTTTTGTTGTTGTTTTTATCCTGTTAATTATTGCTTTTATTATTATCATAATCATGCACAAGCGCTAAACCTGAAGGGATTAAACAGCATCCTGGGGAATGGGAGGTAATCAGGCTTGATCCAAAATTAGAGTAATATCAAATCATTGGATCAAAAGCTCTTCACTGGCAACATACTCCTGCGGCTTATGTCAGGTGTGGCTACGTGCTGCTGTTTGACAGGTGTGGCTACGTGCTGCTGTTTGACAGGTGTGGCTACGTGCTGCTGTTTGACAGGTGTGGCTACGTGCTGCTGTTTGACAGGTGTGGCTACGTGCTGCTGTTTGACAGGTGTGGCTACGTGCTGCTGTTTGACAGGTGTGGCTACGTGCTGCTGTTTGACAGGTGTGGCTACGTGCTGCTGTTTGACAGGTGTGGCTACGTGCTGCTGTTTGACAGGTGTGGCTACGTGCTGCTGTTTGAAGTAGGCTAGTGCTGTTTGACGGTTGGCTACGTGTGTTGTTTGACAGGTGTGGCTACGTGCTGCTGTTTGACAGGTGTGGCTATGTGCTGCTGTTTGACAGGTGTGGCTACGTGCTGCTGTTTGACAGGTGTGGCTACGTGTTGCTGTTTGACAGGTGTGGCTACGTGCTGCTGTTTGACAGGTGTGGCTACGTGCTGCTGTTTGACAGGTGTGGCTACGTGCTGCTGTTTGACAGGTGTGGCTACTGCTGCTGTTTGACAGGTGTGGCTACGGCTGCTGTTTGACAGGTGTGGCTACGTGCTGCTGTTTGACAGGTGTGGCTACGTGCTGCTGTTTGACAGGTGTGGCTACGTGCTGCTGTTTGACAGGTGTGGCTACGTGCTGCTGTTTGACAGGTGTGGCTAAATGTTGTTGTCAGGCGTGGCTACGTGTTGTTGTTAGGTGTGACTACGTGCTGCTGCTGTTTGCCAGGTGTAGCTACGTGCTGTTGTTGTCAGGTATGGTTACGTGCTGCTGTTGTCACATATATATTATAATCAAAAAGAAGCGCTAAGCACAAGGGCTATACAGCTGCTGTTGTCACAGAGGTAACGCTGGATAATGTAGCATGTGAGCATCTGCTCATGTGATACACACTAGGATGCAGGTGTGCCGATAAACCCCCTGTGCTCAGACAAATCTCCGTCGTACCCAGTAGATAGTGACGACACCTGTGGTCGCACCTGGGGAGGGAAGGGTGGACTCATCCTGGAGGAGAGATGGTTCGCATCTGATCGTTTCTCTAGAGGCTGACGTACTTCACACACTTCTCGATCCTCCTGCTGTCTGTCTGTCTATCTCTCTCCATCCACGAGTGTAATTACCTATTTTCAGCTACTGGAGTTGATTATTATTATTATTATAATCAAGGGGGAAGCGCTAAACCCGGAGGATTATACAGCGCCTGGGGGGGGGGGGATGTGGAAGGCATTCAGGCTTAATTCGGGGAACTGGAGCACAGATCCAATTCCCTAAATCAAGAGCCCCTCTCCAACATCAAGGAACTACTGGAGTTGAACAATGCTCATATCCCCGTCTTCAGTAATTTTTTTTTTTTTTCAACTCCACACATACATAGTTCATAAAACAGAAAAGAAGATGATATGTTGGAAAATGACTACAGATTCAGACAAAATGGAAAAAAAAATTGGAGAAAGAATCATTTTATCGTTGAAAATGCTTTTGCACTCTATCTTCATGCAGGTTTTATTTGACACATGCAATGCATTCTAATATAATGTGCTACATGAAACTTATTTGGTGGTCATTCAAATATAGATAGAGAGGTGGTGAATATGTGGTGGCGACTCGTGTAATTTCTATCTTCACAATGTTTAAATACAAGCAACTTCTAGCATCCTCTGACCTGTTTCTGTGCTCCTTCCAATTATTCAAAACGGTAAAAACAGACTGATCTATGACAATCATTTGCAAGTTGACATATACTTTTTTAATGCACTGTTAAAAAAAGTCGTCTTAATGAACTCAAAAATACCTATACACATTTATGTCTTCCACACTCCCTTCCTCCATTCTGACATCCAGTCTTTTTATTTGTTTGGCAAACTTTAATGCATCTTATATGGTAAACCTACTTTGCCCAAACAGTTTTTACTTTACATTGCCTAATCTGAACATTATTTTTTCAACACGTTGGCCATCTTCCACTGAGGAAGGGTAACTCAAAAAGAAAGAAAAAACTTTATCATTATCATTCAACACTATGTGTATGAATGGTATATAATACCGACAAGATGAGATTAAGACACATGTGCAACATCTGGGTATCTTTATTGTAGACGTTTCGCCATCCAGTGGCTTTATCAATACAAATTCTAGGACATAACTTGAAGACAGTAGAACTATGTACAGAAGATGAGGTAATCAGTCCCTCAACCTAGGAGTAGGTGCGAAGAGCACCATAGTCGTGGAGATTCTGAAGCAGAAGAAAGGATCCTGGCGCTTATATAGTAACGTCAGGTGTAGCAGACGAGGGCATATTCACTGGTAGGCGGGATTCCCCAGTGGAAGTAGGTCCTTCCCAAAGAGATGGGTTAGTTGTAGTAACAACAACTACTAACTACAACTAACCCATCTCTTTGGGAAGGACCTACTTCCACTGGGGAATCCCGCCTACCAGTGAATATGCCCTCGTCTGCTACACCTGACGTTACTATATAAGCGCCAGGATCCTTTCTTCTGCTTCAGAATCTCCACGACTATGGTGCTCTTCGCACCTACTCCTAGGTTGAGGGACTGATTACCTCATCTTCTGTACATAGTTCTACTGTCTTCAAGTTATGTCCTAGAATTTGTATTGATAAAGCCACTGGATGGCGAAACGTCTACAATAAAGATACCCAGATGTTGCACATGTGTCTTAATCTCATCATTCAACACTATCACCATCACTTATACATAATCAGCCTATGCAGAGGCACTTAGATACAGTTTGGATGTCCCTCCAAACTGCCAACATCCCAAACCCCTCCTTTCAAGTGCAGGTATTGTACTTCCCATTTCCAGGATCAAGTCAAACTAACCGGTTTCTCTAAATCCCTTCACAAAATATTACCCTGCTCACACTCCAACAGCTTGTCAGGTCCCAAAAACTATTCACTCCTATCTAACATGCTCACACATGCTTGCTGGAAGTCCAAGCCCCTTGCCCACAAAACTTCCTTTACCCCCTCCTTCCAACCTTTTCAAGGATGACCCCTGCCCCGCCTTCCTTCCCCTACAGATTTATACGCTTTCCAAGTCATTCCGCTTTGTTCCATTCTCCCTAAATGACCCAACCACCTCAACAACCCCTCTAATACTTTAAGGAACTCCATGCCTCCTCCTAATTTCCACACTACAAATTCTCTGCATAATATTTACACCACACATTGCCCTTAGACACAATATCTCCACTGCCTCCAGCCTCCTCCTCGCTGCAGCATTTACAACCCACGCTTCACACCCATATAAGTGTTGGTACCACTATACTCTCGTACATTCCCTTCTTTGCCTCTATGGATAACATTTTTTGTCTCCACAGGTACCTCGATGCACCACTCACCTTTTTTTCTTCATCAGCTCTATGGTTAGCCTCATCCTTCATAAACCCATCTGCTAACAAGTAAACTCCCAAATATCTGAAAACATTCACTTCTCTCACACACACTCCCTCCCTCCAATGTGATATAAAATTTTTCTTTATCTCAATCATTTGATACCCTCATCACCTTACTCTTATCTATATTCACTCTCAACTTTCTATCTTTACACAGATTCCCAAACTCACCCACTAACCTTTGCAACTTTTCTTTAGAATCTCCCAAAGGCAAAAAGTAACTGTGTCAACTCCCATTTCTGTACATTATATGATGGTTTATTGCATTGTCGATTCTATATTTCTATCCCTGTAGTTATGCACTATATTTCTTACTATCAGTATCAATATTTTAAACTTTGCATAAGAAAAATAGGGTGAATATGATTCCACAGTATTTTTTTTTTTTTAATTTTTATTTTTTAAAATTTCATATCTCTACTTCACGTACTAAAATAAAATTAAAAGAAAAGTCCTGGACAACATAACTTACAGAAAAACATTCTAAGAGAAAATGTTTTATATTCTTTAAAAAATACTACACATATTACATTACAAATAAACTTATATGCTGTTTAAAAAACAGCAAAGACACATGGAATCTCAATAAAAAATACATACTTTATGAAACTGGACATGACAGAATGCTGACATTGTGTTTTGCACCTGTGGAGACAGTGTGTTTGAGGCAATTGTTAAGATTTATAAGTTATTATGGATTAAAAGATCATGAACACTAAATTTCTTTTTTCTGACACTTATATGCACACCACCAGTTACATTTAACTCAAATAACAAATTCATCATGGTGACTAAAGAAATCAGAATTTTTTTTACCATCATTATAATAATCAGAAAATTGCACTGATAATTAATCAAATGAATTCCATACTTCAGTTTTCTATCAAAAAGGTAAATGCACAATAATAGAAATGCTACCTTTATATACCATTGATGAGTTTCGGGAGTCTCACTACTCTCGGAGCCTGGCCATGGGCCAGGCTCGTCTGGTGCTTGCCTGGTCAACCTGGCTGTTACTGCTGGAGGCCTGCTGACCCCACATAACCATCACAGCCTTGTTGATCTGGCACCTGGTGAAGATACTTGTCCAGTTTCATCTTGAAGACTTCTACACTTGTTCCAGCTGTGTTTCTGATATCTTGTGGCAAGATGCTGAATAGTCTGGGGCCACAAATGTATGGGTTGGGAATGAAAATTTAACCCTTTCAGGGCCCGTGCCGTAGATATACACCATAAGCTCAGCTCACTCAGATAACCTGTGAGCGGTAAATTTGGGCCTAGGTATGAGAGAACACATCTATGTGGTAAGTGTGCACCACATAAATCCTGCAGCACGCAGTGCATAATGAGACAAAAAAGCTGCCACCGTAATTTTGGATTAAAACAGCGGCTTTGCGGTGTTTTTTCTTATGTTTTTTAAAGTTGTATTCACAATTTCTTGGTCTCATTTGATAGAATGGAATATATATTACAGAAATAGAGATGATTTTGATTGGTTTTAGCACTGAAAATAGCTTGAAACTGAGCTCAAAGTAGCAGAAATGTTCAATTTTTGCCAACGTTCAAGAGTAAACAAATATCGTCACGAGTCTAGTACGCGTCAGCTGGTGGGTCTAATATGCATTCATGAATGTGCTAATATTATTTATACAATTATTACAACATTGCATAACAGTAAATCTTCTATTTTTTTGGTGTGAATAAATATTCATTATGCGAATAAAAAATAAAAATGGAATTCGTTTGTAAAGCCTGAAAATGTAACTAATGAACAGAGGAAATGTTAGTTTAGTGCCAGGAGTGCCTGCATTGTTTATTCTGGACCCTACTTTGAAATTGGAATATTTTGAACTTTGTGTTAAGTTGGCCAAATTACCAATCACTTTACTGGGTAGTTGAAACAGTTGACTGGGCGATTTCTTGTCCTCAATCGATAAAATAGAAGTAATACTAGTGAAATAGCTAAGAATTTGGTCAACTGGAATAATGTAATTGGCCTAAAATGGGAGTCAAAGTCAACAAAATTGCCAATGCGTAAATATCACTGATGCATCAAAATTTGCGAAAGCATAATTTCGTCAATTTTCCATCAAATTTCATACTTTTTGCTTTATTACCTTCAGAAACAGATTCTCTACCATTTCTTAGGAAAAAAAATCAAAAATTTTTTTTTTTTTTTTTGAAAATTCTTGGACCCTGGCTGTCACTGAGATTTGGCTACTGGACCCTGAAAGGGTTAAAGAAAGAGAAGACTATTCAGCCTACATTGCTAAAATATTTTACATGACAGTATTGATGCTTCTGTCATACTGTCAGGTACAACATTCAGTAATTTTATATTTTTAAATTTTTTCTTTGTATAACTAATTGTAATAAACTTGAATCAGAAATACATTTTTCTTATCCTTTGTTTTTATATTATCTTAGATAAAGAAAACTTGTTTAGAATTTTTATTGCATATTTTCACTGGGCTTGAACCAATTAATATATTTTACATATAACTATAACTGCAAATAGTGTGAATTTGAATACTGCAACCACCTCACAAGATTCATTATTCACATTAATCAAGACCTAGCTGTATATTAACTGTAATGTGTAATGTCAGTGAATACATTTATATGTTATCTCACTGCATACTTTAAATGTAATATGCAATCTCAGTGAATACATTAACAGTAGCAATAAATGTAAAATAAACATCAACTTTCATTTGTACAATAATCACTCATCAAAATTCACTAATGACATCCCGGGCGATGGAGTCACACACTGGGCATTACAAGACCTTCAGCAATGAGAGCCTGAGCACTGCAATAGTATAGGTACCATCGCTGTGGTGCTCCAGCACATCCACAATGACTTCTGAGTACTCGGGAAGAAGCTGGCCAATTCAAGAGTCGCACAAATGTCAAGAAAAAATTAACATTCAAATAATCCATTTGCCTATATTATACTGTATGTACTTAGTTGATTTAAATGTCAAAAAAAAAAAAAATATAACAAAACATTGCAGACTTCAATCCTTGTTACACTTTGTAAAAGTATCCAACTTGGTGTCTCAGCAAAATTATATAAATACATACTACTACTCGTTGCCAGTCTTGGAAGGGAGCAAGAGAGAGAGAGAGAGAGAGAGAGAGAGAGACAGAGAGACAGAGATGATAGTGACTAATGCAGTAATGCCTAGACACTTTGCATATTTTGAATGAATAATGTAGAGCATGACAATGCTGTCGAAGTATTAAGTCATCCTCAAGATTAATGCCTGACACCAGGTTATTCATTAATGATCAATATATTGGATTACAAAGTGCCAATGATATAACTGATTGAAAGAGGGAAATTTTTAGGATTTTATCAATACACCATAAAAATTTAAAATATTTCTTAGATATGCATCAAAATATCTAAAATCTGTTCTTAAATTAAACTACAGATATCTAATATGATTAAACTTTTATAACTTATGAGTATTTCATAAGTGTACCTGCTGCACTACAAGATTTATTTTTTCAGATGTACTAATGATCTTATGCTGAACAATTGCCTGCATGATCCTGAGTACATAATGAGCACTCAATAAATTTTAACAAAATAATGCTAAATTTAAGATAATCCAAACTGAATACAGTTTTACAAGTTTATTGGTAGACTATATTAATGAAATAAAAATGAATAACAGAGTATAATTTCCTGTATTTCAATGGTTAAAGTAATAAAAAGTATATAAACCACAGAAAATACTGAAAACAAATGAAATTAAGCTAAGAGTATACAAATATTATGGTAATAATATTTTAATCCATGAACTATTCACTATCACTGCCACCTCCAGCCTCGGAGCCTGACTGTGATTTGGCTGGGGAACGTGAGCCAGACCTAGAACGTGGTGATCCAGACCCAGATTTAGGAGATCCAGATCTAGAACGAGGAGAACCTGACCCTGATCTAGCAGGGGATCTTGACCTTGAACGTGACCTTGACAGTGACCTGGACTTGGATCTAGACCTGGACTTAGATCTAGACCTGGACTTGGATCTAGACCTGGACTTGGATCTAGACCTGGACTTGGATCTAGACCTGGACTTGGATCTAGACCTGGACTTGGATCTAGACCTGGACTTGGATCTAGACCTGGACTTGGATCTAGACCTGGACTTGGATCTAGACCTGGACTTGGATCTAGACCTGGACTTGGATCTAGACCTGGACTTGGATCTAGACCTGGACTTGGATCTAGACCTGGACCTTGATCTTGAACCTGACTTGGACCTTGACCGTGACTTAGATCTTGACCTTGACCTCGACTTTGATCCAGATCGTGACCTAGCAGGTGAACGGCTAGCAGACCGTGAGCCACTGCGTGACCTCGATCTAGATGCAGAACCACTCTTCCTAGAACCACTGTGACTTCGTGACCTTGAACCTGAGCCAGAACGTGACCCAGACTTTGAACGTGACCTGGAACCTGATGCAGAACGAGAACGTGACCTAAAGTGAGATCTTGACCGTGAGCGATCAGAACCAGATTCAGACATAACTCGACGCCGTTTGCTACTGCCTCTGTCACTATCAGACCCACTAGCAATTTTGAGTCGCTCATTATCAGAATCGTCAGAGGAATCTGAAATTGTTGCTTTAGAGACAATACGCCCCTTCTGTCTGGCAGAAAGGCCATCTGAAGCTTGCTTTTTGGCTCTCTGTCTTCCTCCTCTTTTGCGGCCACGAGGTCGATCATCATTCTCATCATCACTTCCGCCCTTTGTTTTCCTACCTCTCTTCTTTCTGCAAGTAAAAAAAAAAAAAAAATAATTAAAAGAGCTATTCTCCAAGTATAAAAGTGCACTAGTGATGAAGCAAGAATTTGTCCTCATAAGCCATGCATGATGTGAAAGGATACAAATGCCACAAGCATTTTTTTTGTCTTTATTACTTTGTAGTAACAAAGACAAAAAAAAATTTATGCAAAGTTTGAATGTGTGTGTAGATATAATAAAGATACAGAGAAACAGTTGAAGATTTTATGAATGACGGTAAGCTGAATGTCTTGGCACTGAGTGAAACAAGCAGATAATTGTGCCAGAAAAGTTGACACAAAGGTAAAAGAGATTAAGTTAGCAAATGAGCTGTGGAAGGAAATTAGTATGAATATATTAATTTAAGAACTATATTCTCTTGTCTCACCCCTCAGCACATAATATTATAAATTTTTAGGTTCAAGATCCATGACTTACCCTGTTTCCTTTCTTTTGCGTCCACGAGCTTTCTTGCTCCTAGGTTCACCTCCTTCAGCTCCGCTTCCTGCACCAGAACCATCAGACAAGATTTCCATATCACGCTTACGTCCACGTCCTTTACGCTGAGTTTCAGCCACTTCAGTGATGATGACAGCATTCTTCATTTTCTCCTTATACTCCTCACGTGCCTTCATCTGTAGTGATAGTAACTCATTTTGAGACCAGTAACAACTAATATTTTAGGTTTAGGCTTTAAGAAATTTAAAAACTATTTAAGGTATTTCTGCTGAAATGAAGCATGTATACAAAAAATCAGATTGTCTTCATTTTCTCATTTGTGTTCCTGATTAATTATTTGTTTCAAGTAGTCAAGATACCATATGAAATTTAACCAAAATATTACAGATATTTTAAAGCGTGCAGTCACAAGATGTTACTTCTCTCATATTCCACACAACTTTTTCCCCCTCAATGAATTAATCTTTTCAATCAAAAGATTACCCTGTCTTCCATCAGCTGTCGCCTCTTCTCTTCCATCTTCTGTCTCTCTTCCACAACTTTCTGCTTCAGTGCCTGTCTCTCTTCATCTTGTTTGCGGCGAAGGGCCTTCTCTTCATCATCTTGTCTGCGTGCACGAGACACATGGTACTGTGCTTGAGACAGAAGATCACGGCACTGACTTGCCTCTGCAGCTGCAGCTCCCAAGTCGTACTTTAAACGATCTCCATTAACACTCAAGTGCTGAAAGTATCTAAAATACACACACTTCTTAATACAGTAAGAGAGAATATTATTCCTGAGTGTTTGCATGTAAACATTCTTTCCATTTTGCACTTTCTTCAGGAGCTGAAGCTTATAAGGGCTGCCTTACCTCCTTGTAGGGATGCTTACATGTTTAGCATTGGAAGTCTCCTCATTTGAGGGTCACCGAATCATAATATAACATTCCTCAAGCTCTTGGACCCTTTATGATTGTCTTTTTTCCACTTTAATGTGCCTGGCACCTGTGAAAAAAAATGTAGGGCTCCTGCACCTGCTGCCTATTTTCCCCAAAACTGCTGCCTTCCCCGCCCTATCCTTTACCTACTTTCTTTCAACCAAATGCTTAGTGGGGTGACTGAAGGATGCTAAGTACTTTCCAGTCTCTCGCCCATATTCTCATTAATTTCACTTTTCCTCTCACTTTACTGACTGCCTCTTCCTCCTTCCTCATCCACTTGCACTCTGATAATGCTCAGTAAGAAGCTCAGAAGACTAAGGAGAGAGACAAACAATTCAGATCCCCTTAAATGGTCCAAACGTATATATACATTTTTTCAACATCTGAAAGTATGTAAAAAAATGTAGATCTTTTTTGTTTTACATTTGAAAACGTGTAAAAAAAAACTTTTATCTACATTTTTTTTTGTTATATTTGAAAATATGTTAAAAAAAAGTAGATCTACTTTTGTAGCACTACGAATTTGAACGTCGATTTGTTTGGACTGTTTAAGGGTTAAGGTTAAGGGCATGTTATGTGTGAGTGACTGCCCAATATCATACTTTATATGCAGGTAAATGAATTAACATGGTGAACATTATTTCACAAAATAACCTAGCCCTAGCCCAGCCTAGATTTAATGGGTGTTGCTTAGTTTAAATGTAGAATTTATTCATGATATTCAAACTGCTTATTGCAAGGCTGGTGCACGTATGTATTATTAGGAATTTAATGTTGCTTCATGATGTTGAGATATTAATGCAACAATGAATCTGCATTTTAATATATGTATGTACTCTGAGGGTATGTAAAAGAAAATTAAAAGTGAATATAAGAAAGAGCAAAGTGATGAGGATAACAAAAAAATTAGGTGACAAAAGATTGGATATCAGATTGGAGGGAGAGAGTATGGAGGAGGTGAATGCATTCAGATAGTGTATGGGAGTGAACGTGTCAGCAGATGGGTCTATGAAGGATGAGGTGAATCACAGAATTGATGAGGAGAAAAGGGTGAGTGGTGCATTCAGGAGTCTCCGTGGAGACAAAGAACTTTGTCCATGGAAGCAAAGAGGGGAATGTATGAGAGTATAGTTATACCAACACTCTTATATGGGTGTGAAGCATGGGTGGTGAATGTTGCAACAAGAAGGCTGGAGGCAGTGGAGATGTCATGTCTGAGGGCAATGTGTAGTGTGAATATAATGCAGAGAATTCGTAGTTTGGAAATTAGGAGGAGGTGCAAGATTACCAAAACTATTATTATCCAGAGGGCTGAGGAAGGGATGTTGAGGTGGTTCGGACATGTAGAGAGGCTGAAACAAAATAGGATGACATTGAGAGTGTATAAATCTGTAGTGGAGGCAAGGCAGGGTAGGGGTCAGCCTAGGAAAAGCTGGAGGGAGAGGGTAAAGGAAATTTTGTGTACAAGGGGCTTGGACTTCCAGCAAGCATGCATGAGCATATTTGATAGGATTGAATGGAGACAAATGGCTTTTAGAACTTGAAATGCTGTTGGAGTGTGAGCAGGGTAACATTTATGAAGGGATTCAGGGAAACCGGCAGGCCGGACTTGAGTCCTGGAGATGGGATGTGCAGTGTCTGTACTCTAAAGGAGGGGTGTTAATGTTGCAGTTTTATAACTGTAGTGTAAGCACGCCTCTGGCAAGACAGTGATTTATTTATTTATTTATTTATTTATTTATTTAATTTATTTATCTGAACATGATACAGAGAAGTACAAAAGAATACAGTTAAATGCAACATACCAAAGCCACTTGAATGCATAACATTATGGGCAGGCTTAAAATTAACTTAAGATTAACTAAGCAATGAAGTATTCAGTGGTAAAATATTATTGTAAACAGATAACAATTAAGCACAAATGAGTATTAAAAAAACAGGTCGTATGGTTGCTTGCATTGCTGTACAATCAGTATTTATTTATTTATTTATTTATGGGCAGGCTTAAAATTAACTTAAGATTAACTAAGCAATGATATATTCAGTGGTACAAAAATTATTGTAAAACAGATAACAATTTAGTACAAATGAGTATTACAAAGACAGGTCATATGGTCATTTAATGTGTTGCTGTGTAATCAGTAGAATGGAGTATTCTGTTAGGTAACGAAGTTAAATAGTAACAAAGTTTGATTGGGTCACAGGTTGACATTTATGAGATACAATAATGAGATACATATACGAGATACAATTTATGAGATACAATTATTCAGTATTTATTTAGTTGTGGGTAAGTGATTTTTGAGAAGAGACTTGAATTTATAAACAGTGTTTCTTTTACATTCACAGGTAATGAATTCCAGATTTTAGGGCCTTTTATGTGCATTGAGTTTTTGCATAGTGTGAGATGGACATGAGGAACATCAAAGAGTGATCTGTGCCTTGTGTTATGGTCATGTGTTCTGTTAAGGTTGGTAAGGAGATGTTTGAGGGGAGGGTTTATGTCAGAGTTAAGTGCTCTATTTATGTAGTAGGTGCAGTAATAAGTATGGATGTTTTGAATTGTGAGTAGGTTTAGAGTTTTGAATATTGGTGGAGTGTGTTGTCTGTAGTGGGAATTTATCATCATTCTGACTGCAGCCTTTTGTTGGGTGATTAGTGGTCTGAGATGGTTTATTGTTGTTGAGCCCCATGCACAAATTCCATATGTGAGATAAGGGTAAATAAGTGAGTGATATAGGGCCAGGAGGGCTGACTGTGGAACACAGTACCGTATCTTCGATAGTAAGCCTATGGTCTTGGAAATTTTTTGGGAAATTTGTTGTATATGTGTTTGAAATTTGAGTCTATTATCAAGGTGGATTCCTAAGAATTTTCCCTCTGTGAGTTTTGTGATAGGTGATCCATTTATCATTATGTTTAGAGACACATCTGTAGCTCTGTTACCAAACTGAATGTAGTAGGTTTTGTCAATGTTTAGAATAAGTTTGTTGGTCCTCATCCAGGTTGATATTTTCTGTAATTCGGTATTTACAGTATTGGCTAGCATGACGGGGCTCGGGTGAGAGTAGACGAATGTAGTGTCATCTGCAAATAGTGTGGGTTTGAGTAGTTGCGATGCATTTGGTAGGTCATTTATGTATATGAGAAAGAGAAGAGGGCCTAGGACACTTTCCTGTGGGACACCAACTGTAATTGGCTATGCGGAAGAGTTTGCCCCATTTGTGTTCACATATTGGTTTCTGTTGCTGAGGTATGACTTTAGGTAGTTGAGGGAGTGCCCTCTTATACCATAGTGCGACAATTTCATGTGGAGCAAGTCGTGGTCAACTGTACTGAAAGCTTTACATAAGTCAATGATGATCCCCAGTGGGACTTCTTTTTTCTCTATTGCTGTATAAATATGTTCTAGCATGTGGATAATAGCATCATTAGTATTTTTATTAGGCCTGAACCCAAATTGACAGGGGTTGAGTATGTTGTGGGAGATGAGGTAGGAATAGATACGCTTATGGATTAATTTTTCAAAGATTTTAGAGAGAGGGTATAAGTTGGATATTGGCCTATAGTTATTCAAGTCTGTGTGGTCTCCTCCTTTATGGATCGGGGTGACCCTTGCTATTTTGAGAACTGTAGGAAAGGTAGAGGATTCAATGAATTTGTTAAAGAGTGTTGCAATGATTGGTGATAGCACCTGTGACACTTTTTTGTATATAATGGGTGGTAAGGTATTTAAATCTCCTGTTTTGTTTTTTAGTTTGTTGATAATAAGGGAGACTTTAGTTGGGTTAGTCAGAGCTAGGAACAGTGTGTTCGGATAGTTGCCAGTGAGGTAGTCACTGGGTGGGTTATCTGAGCTTGGGATTTTATTGGCAAGGTTTTTTCCTATAGTGGAGAAGAAATCATTGAGTCTGTTTGCTGTTTCAGTAGGTGGGAATTGGGGTTCATCTGGTGGTTTTGTTAATTCAATTTTTCTATTTCGTGTTAACTTTTTTGTTCCTAGTATTTTTGATAGGGTTTTCCAGGTCTTTTTTATGTCACCTCGTAAGTTGGATAATCTGTTCTCATAATACAATTTTTTAGCCCTTCTTATTAGGCTGGTTAGGATTGACGAGTAACGTTTTGTTTGGTCTCTGGTTATATGGCCCATTCTCTACTGTTTTTCGTATTGGTGCTTTGTATTTATGGATTTGAGGATACTGGGTGTTAGCCAGGGACTGTTCAGTCTCTTAGCAGTCATCTGTTTAATTTTTTTAGGGCAGTGCTTGTTATAGAGGTATTGGGTCTTTTTTAGAAAATTATTAATACATTCGTCAATATCTGTATAGATTTCTAGCTCAGTGTGCCAGTCAATGTTTGTCACTGCTGCTGTGAAGTTATTGATAGCTGCCTCATCGTGAAGCCTGAAAGTGACTTTAGTAGTGTCTAGGGGTAATTTGCCAAGGTTTGCTATGAGGAAGGTAGGGTAATGATCTGTGGTATTATCTGTGATTATGCCTGATCTTAAGGGGGATATGGTGTTGGTCCAGATGTGGTCTAGTAGGGAAACACTAGTCTCTGTGACTCTTGTAGGTTTTGTTACTGTTGGTAGCAACATGCAGTTACTCATAGTGTTTGTGAATTCAGTAACATGTGGATCTTGGTCTTGTAGGAGATTTATATTGAAGTCACCTGAGAGTAGTAAGTGATCTTTGTTCATGCGTGCATCAGTTATCATACTTCCTAGGTCTTCACTAAAATGGCTAATGTTTGACTGTGGTGCTCTGTAGATGTTTATCACTGTGAGAGGTTTTTGTAGGTATTTGGATTTG